CCTGTCGGGTCTCTACCAGTCAGACAAGCTTTATTTAATTGTATTATTTAATCTGCATTGGTTTTCCCCTCTTTTCGATGGTTACGATGTGATATGATAACTGTCTTAGCAGAGCAGGACTAAAGGAATGTAGACCCCATCTAAGTGTCTTTACAAGGACCGTGAGCAGAGCCAGTATCTGTCGTGAATCCAGTTAACTACTTGTCTCCATGAATTCACCATTTCATTTTTTTAAAGTTCTTTTTGAGACAGAGACCCTTGTAGCCCAGGCTGGCCTTGAACTCTGTACATGTCTGAGGCTAGTCTTGAACTCCTAATCCTCCTGAGTGCTGAAATTGTAGTCACGTATTACCATACCTGGCTAGTCTCTTGTCTTGAACACATGGCTGGATTTCCTTTCTTTGGCTCCTTCTGTCCCAGAGTCACAGGAAGCCCAAAGAGACCCTGGGGATCCGAGGTTCTTGGGGTCACGTAGCACCCAGGACAGCTGTAGTACCTCACAGGTACTTTTTGCCAAGAGGGCAGAACTTGATTGGGCCTTGGTGGGTCTGGCAGGTTCTTGTCTATCTTTTTCTGGTTTTGCTCACGTTAAAGAAAGCATAGTGTCTTCTGGTGAGACATTTCACTGTCCTGGTCTCATTTTCCCTATGTAGATAAGGGTTAGGAGTAGATGTTCCCTGGCGTTCTGTGACCCGCCTCTTGCTGTCTTCCTTTCCCTCCTCTGCTTCTTGTGTTTTTCCTTTGTCTTCCCTGGGAGTGCTCAGGGTCACTGGATTGTGTGTGTTTGTGTGTGATTGTGCCAAGGGACTTAGCCTCATGTAGCATGTACAGGGATGTGTTGTGACCCAGCGCGAGCTCCCCCAGTGACTTGTCGGCATGTGGAGTCTCTCCCTACCCCCTTTTTTCAAACCGGCCTCCTTCCCCGTTCTTACCCCACGTAGGTTGCAAACAATATTGATGAACTGTAGGGTGTGTGGTGGTTCGGGGCAGTCTGACTTCATTTAGGGTATGACGTCTGTAGCCATTGGGAACGTGAAATATTGGTGCCATCACTGAACCAAAGGGATTATGTCCTGTGCCTTTGGTACTTGGTTTTGCATTTTTGTTTTGTATTAAATACTTTCTTCCTGTTTGAAGTCTTGTCTCTTTTTAAAGGAGTAAGCAGGCCTTCCCTCGGATAATGGCTGTACCGCCTACAGACTCATCTCACCGTCTCCCATAACTGCTTTCTTGACTGTTGTGGCCTCGGTGGTTTTTTTTTTTTTTTTTTTGGTTTTTTGTTTGTTTGTTTGTTTGTTTATTTGGTTTGGTTTTTCCAGACAGGATTTCTCTGTGTAGCTCTGGCTGTCCTGGAACTCACTCTGTAGACCAGGCTGACCTCGAACTCAGAGATCTGCCTACCTCTGCCTTCCTTGTGCTGAGATTAAAGTGTGTGCCACCACCACCTGGCCTGTTTTGTTTCCTTTTTTGAGACGGTCTCCTAAACTGCCCTTGCTTAATCAAATAACTGAAGCCAACTCTAATGCACAGTAGTCCTTTTATAGGAGCTCTCCCGCACTGGGATTTCAGATGCGAGATACCTGACTTGTCTCTTCTGTTTCCCTTATGCTAGAAGAGTAGGCCCAAGATAGACTTATAGATAGAGGACTTATAGATAGAGGACTTATGGTAGGCCCAAGATAGACTTATAGATAGAGGACTTATAGATAGACTTATAGATAGAGGACTGATCTCCAAAGTATATAAAGAACTCAAGAAACTAGACACCAAAATACTGAACAATCCAATTAAAAAATGGGCTAAAGAGCTAAACAGAGAATTCTCAAAAGAAGAATCTCAAATGGCTGAAAGACACTTAAGGAAATGCTCAACATCTCTAGTCATCAGAGAAATGCAAATCAAAATGACTCTGAGATACCACCTTACACCTGTCAGAATGGCTATGATCAAAAACACTAATGACAGTCTATCTTGGAGAGGATGTGGAGCAAGGGGAACACTCCTCCACTGTTGGTGGGAATGCAAACTTGTACAACCACTGTGGAAATCAATACGGCAGTTCCTCAGAAAATTGGGAATCAATCTACCTCAAGACCCAGACGTACCACTCTTGGGCATATACCCAAGGAATGCTCAATCACACCACAAAGACACATGCTCAACTATGTTCATAGCAGCACTTTTTGTAATAGCCAAAACCTGGAAACAACCTAGATGCCTGTCAACTGAAGAATGGATTAAGAAAATGTGGTACATATACACAGTGGAGTACTACTCAGCAGACAAAAACAATGACAGCATGAAATTTGCAGGAAAATCAATAGAACTAGAAAATGTTATCCTGAATGAAGTAACCCAGACTCAGAAGGACAAACATGGTATATACTCACTCATAAGTGGATACTAGATACAAAGCAAAGGACAATCAGACTGCAACCCACAGATCCAGGGAGGCTATATAGCAGGAGGGACCCTAGGATGACTGTGGCTTATAATAAGTTTTGGTTTTACCCAATCACTGGGCAGGCCTCAGTGAAACATTTCACTATTAGGATAAGAGTTTGTACTATATCAAGCTGATGAAAGAAAATGCTGGCCATACTTTCAGGAGGGGAGGCCAAAATCTTTTTAGATTATGGATTAGCCTATAGAAAAATGTCTGCCATAAATCAAACAGTGAAAGGGAAGATGAATAGGAATCTCACTTACACTACTTAAGTAAAACAGCTCTCTGAACAAATGAAAAAAAAATAAATGTTTTGCCTGCATGAAAATAATAATAATAATAAATAATAATAGTAATGGTCTTACTATGTAAAAATAAATAAATAAAAATTAAAAACAAAATAGTTCCTAGCTTTGCCTGTACGTGTGTATGGTTCTGGTGACTGAACCTAGGACTTCATGCATGCTGGGCAGGTGTTCTACCACTGACCATTTTTAACTTTTTATTTTGAGACAGAGTCTCACCAAGTTGCCCAGGTTGGATTTGAACTTGCGGTCCTGCCTCAGCCTCCTGAGTAGCTGAGATTACAGGCCTTCACCAGGACCGGCTTTAAAAGCTATCTGCTGGGGTTGCGAGACGATGTGGGCAAAGGCACCCAGTGCCAAGACGACCAACTGAAGTTGATCCCTAGATGGAAGGAGAGTACCAGTTCTCACAAGATGTCACACACACACATTTTAAGGGCTGGAGAGATGGCTCAGTGGTTAAGAGCACTGGCTGCTCTTCCGGAGGACCCAGGTTTTTATTTCCCAGAACTGACAGGGCTCACAACTATCTGTAACTCTCTAGTCCCAAGAGATCTAACACCTTTTTCTATCTTCCAACGGCACCAGGTACGCACCTGGTGCAGAGACATACACGCAGGCAATACACTCAGGCCCATAAAATTAAAAACAAAAACAAAACCTGTTTGAAGCTCCTAGGGCTAGAGAGATGGTTCAACAGTTCAGTGCTTTCTCCTTGGTCATGAAGCCTGGAGTTCAGATCCCAGCACCCTGTAACAAGACAGGCAGCTCTACAAAGGCCTGTATACCCCCAGCCTATCTCCAAGAGAGACAGGAACATTGCTGTTGGATTCCAGCCTAACCAATGCAAGAGCCAGGATCCAGGTGTAGAGAGAGACCTTGTCTCAAAGAAATAGGCAAAATGATAGAGGAGGACACCCTCTCCTGGCCTCCTCGTCCATGTGTGGCTACATACACACACTCATACACTCACATACATACAATAAATAATATTTTAAAAATAAGTAAGACCTAGCTCCTAATAGGAACCGGGGCAGAAAGATCACTCACACATTCCACATCAAATGTAAGACACTGAAAAATAGAAAAGGGTTGGGGAGCTGGCTTAATGGAGAGGCACTTATTCAAGCAAGAGGAGCCATGTTTGGATCCCCAGAACATGCAAAGGCTGGGCAGGTAGAGGACATCCACCTGTAACCCAGGCTCTCTGGGAATTCCTGGAGTTAAGCTGGCTAGCTAAAACAAGAATTAGTGAGCTATGGGTTCAATTGAGAGTCCCTGCCTCAGATTTCCTGAGGAAGATATCCAACGTTAGCTTCAGGCTTCCCCAGAATGCACACACACACACACACACACACACACACACACACACACACACACACACACACTTATCTTTTAGCCCCCCCAACTTTTAAAAGGGCAAAACAAAGGGCTTCCAGGTTATAGAGAATCTGATTGGAGAACAAATCACCACCCTAGAAATCTCACTCTCCACCCGAAAGCCCGCCCCCACACGAGAGGCTGGGCTTTTGGGCAAACCTGCTTCTTGGGAGGGGAGGTGGCAGAACCTGTTTGAAGATGAGGTTACCTCCCTTCCACACCTCCTGCCTCCTCAGAGGCAGGAGCAACAGTGAGACAGGAAAGGGAGGAGAGGTGGGGGCTGGGACCACAGCCTCACCCTTCGCAAAGTGTCCAAAGAACACAGGACGACTCGTGAAGATGGGAACTATACAAGAAACAGGAAAAAAGACATTGGAAGGAGGGTAAGTAAGGGCTGGGCCCGACTGGAGACAGAGAGAGGGCGTTTCCTACCACCCAGCCTTCCCGGGTTCCTCAAAGAAGAGCATGAAGAGAAGGAATTTGCAGAGAAGGGACAGGGTGGTTTGGGGCAGGAAATTAATACAGTATGGAACCAATTCCACAGTTTAAAGTTCCTATCTTCTATCAGATAGACCTCTCTCTCTCTCTCTCTCTCTCTCTCTCTCTCTCTCTCTCTCTCTCTCTCTCTCTCTCTCTCTCTCCTTAATCTAACCCCCACCCTCTCTTAGAATAGCCATTAGGAAACCTGGCCCAGAACCAAATGTATAGCCCGGTTCTGCTTCCCAGTGAACCTCTCCTTTCTCCCTCTTCCCTGTGCCATGTTTTCCCAGCACAGTGGAGGAAAGGCAGGGCCGACTAAGTGTCATCTGCTACCGCCTTGCTCGCGGTTAACTGGGCAGGTCCGTCTGGGCTCCAGCCAGCTGTGATGGTGTGGGCTGCCTCCCGCGCCTAATACTGCAGGTGAAGCCACTAACATAGAGGCAAAGGGATTACCTGATGGCCCTTCCCTTCTGCCAAGTGCAGCAGCGGCCGAGCTGTTGCAGTCAAGTAGAAAAGGTAGACTATCTGTGGACATAGACGAGTGCCCTCTGGGACGTGTTCTTCACACTGGCGTCTGCCACCTACTGTCCGGGTCCCTCAGGACACTGTTTATATTGTCTCATGATCTTTTCTTCTGGGGGGTGGGGGCTGACATCAGGGCTGGGGAGAAGGCAGGAGCTGCAGAGCCAGGAGCCGCCTTGAGACTCGGAGAGTTGGTGCTGAGGGAAGAATGGCAAGATGAAGAGTTCCCTAGGTAAGGCTCAGAGCCGTTTGCCCGGCCCGTGGCTCTTCCAGAGGACCCGGGTTTGAGTCTCAGAACCACATGGTGGCCCACAACCATCCTTTACTCCAGTCTCAAGGGATCTGACACCTTCTTCTGGGCTCCAAGGGCAGCGGGGCACACATGTGGTGCATGGATAAACATAGGCAAAACACATATACACAAAAACAACACAGTCTTCAGGGGAGGGGAAAGAGACCAGAGAGGAAACAGTTACGGTGGAGGGAGAAAACGGGGCTACCTGGCTGGGGGCTTGTGTCTAAGTACCTGTTTAATCCCTACCCTCTAGATTGCTTCCTGAGGAGGCTAGCCCATCCGGAGATCCCGAAGACCCTCACAGAGACTCACAGGAAGGTAGGGAGAGGAAAGTGGAGCTAGCCTGAGTCTGAGTCTACTGGGGATGTCTTTCAGGCAGGAGTCCTCACTGTAGCTTCTGTCCCTCGGTCCACTCTCTCCATCTCCATTTGCCCTGTGTCACTTCCCTGTCTCAGAAGTCACAGGAATTATCTCCGTTAAATTTTTATTTTAGGTGGTTTTTGTTACTGTTGTTGCCTGCGGTTTTTTTGTTGGTTGGTTTGAAACAGTGTCTCCCTATGTAACCCTGGCTGGCCTGGAACTCACAGAGATCCACCTGTCTCTGCCTCACGAGTGCTGGGATTAAAGGCCTGCGCCACCACTGCCCCGTGACTGAGGTATCTTCTGACAGTCTCGACTCTAGAGCCCAGGCTGGCCTGGAACTCATATGTAGTCTGAATTGGCCTCAAACTTGCAGTCACCAGGGCTGGAGAGATGGCTCAGCAGTTAAGAATACTGGCTGCTCTTCTGTTTGGTTCCCAGAATCCACATGGTGACTCACAACCATCCTTAACTCTCGTCCCAGGGGATCTGACACCCACTTGCGGGCTCTGAGAGCACCAGGGACACATGCAGTATACAGGCAAACATGCATGAGAAGTACCCATACTCATAGAAAGAAACAAACGAGCAGACAAAGCTTGCGGCTATCCTCCTGCCTCTGTCTCCCAAATGCTGAAATTGCAGATATGAGCCCCTAAGCCTGGTTTCATGGCTTGTTCGTTTGTTTTGGTAGCCCAGGCTGACTTTGATCCTCTTGTCTCTTCCTTTGTAGTGTTGGGATCACAAGCATTTGGCTCCCTTCTACAAGGGATGCCAAGTCACCATCAGCTCATACGGTTTTTCCATTTGGGTATTTTCCCCTCCTATCTTCCAACCACAGGTACCCCCAGCACCCTGGCCCTGTGTGGCCAGCGCCCTATGCGAAAGCGTCTCTCTGCCCCAGAACTGCAGCTGAATCTGACTGAGGGAGCAGGGGACACCGGAGCTTCTCCCGCCCACTCGGACTCTTCCTCTTCCGGTGGCAGCTTGGACCTGGAGGTGGATGAACTGGAGACACCTTCAGACTCTGAGCAGCTGGACAGTGGACATGAGTTTGAATGGGAAGGTGGGAGCAAACCCGAGGATGAGGCTCATAAAACAGAGGCTGATAGAAAACGCAAGCTCGGGTGGACGGATGGAATGGGGTGTTAGGGTAATCAGGGGAGGCGAAAGTGTTGGCTCAGTGGTTAAGAGCACTGGTTGCTCTTCCAGAGGACCTGAGTTCGATTCCCAGCATCCACATGACAGCTGTCTGTAACTCCAGTCCCAGGGAATCTGATGTCCTCTTCTGACCTTCAAAGGCACCAGGCATGCATGTGGTACGCATACATACATGCAGATAAAACACCCATACACATAAAGTAATACATGAAAAATTGAAGAGCAGATGATATAGTAACTGAGAGGAGAGAGCAGAGGGCATTGATTTCCTCAGAAAGGGAAAGGAACAGCTTTAGAGGGACTGGGAGACCAGCCCGGGGCTGGGAGGGGAGACTGAGAAAAAGACCGAAGCTTGACATGTGGCGCACGCCTTTAATCTCAGCACTGGGAGGCAGAGGCAGGCCAATCTCTGAGAGTTCAAGGCCAGTCTGGGATACATAGTGAGACCTTGTCTCAAAAATCAATAAAAAAGCAAACAGACAAACAAAAGAGAAAAATATTGAGGTTAAAAAAAAAAAAAGTCAGGCAGTGGTGGCGCACACCCTTAAATCCAGCACTCGGGAGGCAGAGGCAGGTGAATCTCAGTGAGTTCGAGGCCAGCCTGGCCTGCAAAGCATGTTTCATGGCAGCCAGAGGTGTTACACAGAGAAAGCCTGTCCAAAAAAAAAGAAAGCCTGTTCCATGCTTTCCTGAACTAGGACTGAATTCTTAATGGTGTTGTGTTTGGGACAGGGTCTCTTTTGTAACCCAGGCTGGTCTCAAACTCAAGATCCTTCTTGTCTTGACCTCTCAAGTGCTGGGACTACAGCCACCAGATGCCACCTGACAGGCGTGAGGTTATGAGGGCAAAGAGCTGGGGTGGGGAGGCTGCACTCCGGTGGGCCAGCTCGAAGCCTAAGGTGGGAAGATTGGCAGGAGTCGGGACAGTCTAGGCTACAAAAGGAAGCTTGTCTCCTACATGAACTAAATAAATAAACAAATAGAAACACGGGTACTCTGCTCTCAGGAAATAGTGTTTAGTAGAAATAACTGCTATAAATAATTGCAGCTGAGGGTCGGGCTCTCTCTGTGTGGATGTTAGGGATTTTGAGGAGACTCTGAATCAGGGTGTGAACTCTAAGGGTCATGTCCATCAGGGTTAGAGAAGGGTGTTCTAGGTAGATGGAGCAGGTCAGGCATGGCACACTGGGGAATCAAAGCACAAAGCCTGACTAGACATGAAGGCCTGGGAGGCAGAGGAAGAGTATGAAAAATTAGTGTTGGGTTAGGCTGGCAGAGTTGGGGTCCTGGTGGCCGCTGTGCTAAGGGGTGTAGACTTCTGTAGACTAGACAATGAGGAATAATAGAAAGTATTCATCATGGGATGTCTGGTCACATTAATGGCTATAGACTGAAAACAACTTGGGCTGATACCTCCTCCTTGCCCCACAAGCATGAGGACCTGAGTTAGATCCCCACAACCCATGTTTTAAAAAGCCAGAGCTGGATGTGGTTGCTATCACATATTTCTTTTTTTCTTTTTCTTTTTTTTTTTTCTAAGACAGGTTTTCTCTGTGTAGCCCTGGCTGTCCTGGAACTTGCTCTGTAGACCAGGCTGATCTTGAACAATTCTACCTGCCTCTGCCTCCCAGTGCTGGGATTAAAGGTGTGAGCTGCCACCACTGCACAGCTGTTCACACAATTCTTTTTTTTTTTTTTTAAAGATTTATTTATTATGTATACAGTATTTTGCCTACACACCAGAAGAGGGCACCAGATCAAATTACAGATGGTTGTGAGCCACCATGTGGTTGCTGGGAATTGAACTCAGAATCTTGGGAAGAGTGGCCAGTGCTCTTAACCTCTGAGCCATCTCTCCAGCCCTTTTGACACAATTTTTTAATCCCAACACTCAGGAGGCAGACATAGGCAGATCGCTGTGAGTTCAAGGCCAGCCTGATCTACATATTGAGTTTCAGGACAGTCAAGGATAAATAGAAACATCCTGTCTCCAAAAAAACCAACACACACACACACACACACACACACACACACACACACACACACACAAACCAACAATAACAACAACAAGAAATAAACAAACAAAAATGATTAACCAAGAAAACTATAGCCCTTAATACATAGTGAGTTTGAGGCCAGCCTGGGCAACAAACAGAGGCAGCCAGAGCTACAGAGTAAAACCTGTCTCAAAAAGAGAAGAAAGAAAGAAAGAAAGAAAGAAAGGAAGGAAGGAAGGAAGGAAGGAAGGAAGGAAGGAAGGAAGGAAGGAAGGAAGGAAGGAAGGAAAGAAAGAAGGAAGGAAGAAAGAAAGAAAAGCACACTTGTAATCCCAGCTACTGGGGAGGCTGGGGTGGAAGGATTGATTGTAGTTCGATACCTACATGGAATACATATTGAGACTTAAAAAAAAAAAAAAGAAAGAAAGAGGTATGGGAATGTAGTTTAGTTCTTGCCTATCATGCACAGAGTGCTGGGTTTGATCCCTGGTAGAAACCATACATGGTTGTGCACATCTGTGATCCCCGGGGGTTGGAAGGGAGAGACAGTTTAAGGTTATCGTTGGTTACATAGTGAGTTGAGGACCAGTCCAGGCAGCTTGAGACTGAGAAGAGAGAGAGGGAGAGAGAGGAACAGCATCCTAAGGGTACAGGGAAAGCTAAGGAGGGCTAGAAGAAAGACACAAAGAGTTGAGTTAGTTGGATAAACTGAAAGCCAATTAAAATATTGAAACATGAGAGATTAAGTAGTAAATTCAGCAAGATGTAGTAGTGGGCACCTGTAATCGTAGCACTCAGACTGGGCGGTGGTGGCGCACACCCTTAAATCCATCACTCAGGAGGCAGAGGCAGGTGGATCTCTGTGAGTTTGAGGCCAGCCTGATCTACAGAGCAAATTCTAGGACAACCAGGGCTACACAGAGAAACCCTGTCTCAAAAACAAATAAATAGCTGGGCAGTGGTGGCGCACGCCTTTGATCCCAGCACTCGGGAGGCAGAGGCAGGCGGATCTCTGTGAGTTCAAGACCAGCCTGGTCTACAGAGTGAGTTCCAGGAAAGGCTCCAAAGCTACATAGAGAAACACTGTCCAAAAAAAAAAATAAATAAACAAATAAATAATAATAAAAAGTCCTAGCACTCAGGAAGCTGAGGTATAAGGATCATGAGTTGGAGACTAGCCTGAGCCACACGGTGAAGACCTTCTCTCAGAAACTCAACAAACAAACAAACACTGAGGAGTAAACTCTAGCAATCCAGGAGAATTACAAGAAATCTGCCTTGTGCACTCCCCCACCTGCGTTTTAGATGATTTGCCTCGAGCAGAAGGCCTGGGGGCCAGCGAGGCAGCTGAAAGGCTGGGCCGGGGTTGTGTGTGGGACGTGGCTGGAGAAGACGGTCATCGCTGGAGGGTGTTCCGAACAGGACAGCGAGAGCAGCGAGGTGGACATGACCATCATCGAGCCCTATAAGAGAGTGCTGTCACATGGAGGTAAGGGCAAAGGCAAGACAAGGACGCAAGCTATGCTGGGCCAGGGAGTAAAGGTGCTTGCTGTGTGCACCTGGCAACCTGAGTCTCATCCCCGGAGCCGTGGAGAGGTGCAAGGAGAGAACTAGCCCCGTAAAAGTTGTCCTCTGACCCCCACACGGACCCATACACGCACATACACAATAATAATCAATGAAAACAGCAGCTACGGCAACAGTTTTCCTGGCTCAGCAGGGAAGAGCTCTTGCTGCGCTTGCAAAGCCCCTGGGCTTGCTTCCCAGCAATCACATGACAGCTCACAACTGTGGGTAACTCCAGTTCCAGGTGATCTCACAAGCTCCTCTCTTCCCCACGGTGCACACACGTACGTGCAGGCAGCACACTCATACACAAAATAAAGAACCACACACCCACAGAAAAACCTCTTGACTCACGTGCCTTAGCTGGAGATTCAGTTGTTAGGTTTAGCATCCCTCCTGTGACTTCCAAAGACCCTCAGTGTCCCTCATCTTAAACAGAAGTACTGTCTATTTACAGATTGAGTGAGTTTTCCTCGTATTGGTCCCCAGGTTACCATGGTGATGGCCTCAATGCTGTCATCCTCTTTGCTTCCTGCTATCTACCCCGAAGCAGCATTCCCAACTACACCTATGTCATGGAACACTTATTCAGGTGAGACGGAAACCTGAACAGGCTTGTGAAGGGGGCCAAGGGAAGGGAGTGAGAAAGACCCCTGTCCAAAATCAATAGCTGCCTGGAGAAGCTCTATAAAAACACACAGCACATACCTTCCCTAAAATGTTGTTCCCCAGGTACATGGTGGGAACTTTGGAGCTGCTGGTAGCTGAAAATTATCTGCTCGTTCACTTGAGTGGAGGCACAAGCAGGGCCCAAGTGCCGCCTCTGAGCTGGATACGCCAGTGTTACCGCACCTTGGATAGGAGGTGAGACCCGGGCAGGAGGGGGGACGCAGCTCTTGACTGTGTCTTCCCACTTTTCCTCTTGTTCCCGTTTGACCCTTTGTTGTTCCCTTTTTCCTTTTCTGAGAATGGCTTGCTGTGTGGTGCCTGTTGTCCTCAAATTCAAGGTCCCCTTGCCCCACCCAGCCTCTTGAGGAGTCACCGGCCTGAGTCACCATGCCTGCCTGACTCCCTTCTTCCTGCTGCCTCTCTTTAGACCTGTCTCCTGCTGTATCCTGCAGAGTCAGGGACGTCTGGCCCTTAGGACTTAGTCGCTACACTTTGGACAGGTCCCTTAGCTTTCCTGCTCAGGTTCCTTGTGAATCCCCCGGCGTGTGGCTGGTGACAGAGTCACTTCCCCCCTCCCCGAGTCTTACCACTTCCTTTCCACACCTCCACTGCTTTCTCTCCCTCTTCCTTCGTCCCTGATGTATGAACGCCCCCCACATTGCGTTCCTTTTTCTCCTTTGTTTCCTCCTCGTTTATTTATTTCATTATTTATTTTTGTTTTTGGTTTTTCAAGACAGGCTTTCTCTGTATAACAGTCCTGGTTGTCCTGAAACTCGCTCTGTAGACTAGGCTTGGCTTCAAACTCACAGAGATCCACCTGCCTCTGACTTCTTTGGGATTAAAGGTGTGCGCCACCACCGCCTGGCTTATTTTTTTTTTTTTTCAATTGGAGACAGGGTCTCATTTAATCCAGGCTGGCCTTGAACTATCTATGTAACCAAACATAACTGTGAACTTCTGGTCTTGCTGCCTCTCGACCTCCCCAGTGCTTAGATTCCAGGTGCTATCACCATGCCTGGCTTGGCCATCTCGCTCTTCCTGAATTTTCTTTCTTCTTGCATCTTTTCCACTTTTTCCTCCTCTGCTGATCTTTTTCCTACTTAAGAGCTTTGTTGTTTCTTGTTTAGGGAAGGGGTTTATTATTTTTTTAAAGATTTATTTATTATTTAATGTGCACTGGAGTTTTGTGTGTGTGTGTGTGTGTGTGTGTGTGTGTGTGTGTGTGTGTGTGTGTGTATATATATCTGTATGAAGGTGTAGGATCCCTGGAACTGGAGTTACAGACAGTTGTGAGCGGCCATGTGGGTGCCGGGAATTGAACCTGGGTCCTCTGGGTGAACAGTCAGTGCTTTTAGCTGTGGAGCCATCTCTCCAGCCCCAGGGGTTTATTTTGTATAGGGGCCCGTGGAGCCTAGGTTGGCTTCAGACTCTCAAGGTAGCCCTAGTTGACCTTGAATTCCTGACCCTCTTGCCTCTGCTGGGGTCTCAGCAGAGTGCTGAGATCACATGCACCGCTACACCTGACTTCCACTTGGAGTTTTAGTGTTCCCTGGACTGCATAGTGGAAAAGGATGGAGACGTTTGCCAAAGGGATTTATGTGGGCTGCAGAGAAATGAGTTGCAGAGATGGAGGTATACAAAGGAACATTCCTCTAAACATGGAGTATAGATGGCTGAGTAAATCGGGACAAGCTCAGGGCATGGGGATTAGGCATAACTGCCAGAGGACTTTGGGGGAGAGAGACACCAGGAGCCTGTAGAAGACAACCCACCTGTCCTTCACGGACAAAAGTGGAACAGGGAACATCTATGACCGTATTGGATTCTTCCTCAGGCTTCGGAAAAAACTTCGAGCCCTGGTGGTTGTCCACGCCACGTGGTACGTGAAGGCGTTCCTGGCACTGGTTCGGCCCCTTTATCAGGTACTAGCTCAGGACACAAAGCCACCGCTTTCTCTGTTGTCTATCGAGACATTAAGGAGGTGGTACCCTGCTCTCTGCTCGCTACATCCCCCTCTGTGGCATCCTCCAGGATCACTCTCCCAATACAAAACATAATTGGTTTATTCTCTCTCTTCAGTTCCAAGTTCACACGAAAGATCCGATTTCTGGACAGCCTTGGGGAGCTGGCCCAACTCATCTCCTTAGACCAAGTCCACATCCCTGAAGTTGTGAGACAGTGAGTCCTGCCCTTAAGGATGCTGGTTTGGGAATGGGATGTCTAAAGCCAGTCCTGCTTCTCTGGGGAGATACAAAGAACTAAGACACACAGGCCCTGCTTTGGGCTCTTTCAGTGGGAAAACTGCATAGAGAAAAAATTAAGGATACTATTATATTTGTCGGGAACAAACAACGGGGGCCAGTGAGATGACTCAGTGGGTAAAGGTACTCGCTGACAAGGCTTGACTTTGACCCCCAAACCTACATGGTAGAGTAAATCCATGGCACACATTTGTAAATAAATGTAAACAAAATTTAAAGAACAATGAAAAATATTATGCAAGAGACACTGAGGGGGGCATCCAACAATCCCAGCAAGGAAGACGCAGGAGGTTCGGTGTAGCCTTACAAATTACGAAGAGGTAAGCCAGGAGCCAAGAGAAACTATCCAGTGTGTGTGTGGGGGGGGGGGGGGGTGTTAGTGAGCAGGAGATGGGAAGGGACTCGGTCCCCGCAATTTCTAGCTCCTCCAATTCACCTACTTCTTTCCCCATAATAGAGGAGTAAGAACCCCCAAGTCCTGAACCCTGAACTACTTCCCCCCACCTCCCTGTAGGCTGGACCAGGATCTCCACGGCTCAAGAGGCACTTAACTGGAACTGGACAAAGGGCCGTAGAATCAGGCCAAGATGGTGATCGCTCTGCACACTGGAGCTGTTCTGTAAACCATCTCATCCTGAACCAGGCCCCCACCCCTGTTCCACTGGATCCTCGCTTCCCCGGTGGATACCCTCTTCTGGACACTGCCTTCAAGCTGGGTTTTGAGGGTGGGAACCCCATACGTGGGGTGGCTTTGCATTTTGGCTGTCAGGAAGGAAGATGTGGTGTGGCCACGGAAGTGCAGAGCTCTGGGTTTTTAATTCTGCTTCACCTATAAAACGTGTGGGTCTCAGTTTTTCTTCTCTGTAATCAAAACCTCTGGGATCCTTCCCATCTTGGTCATCTTAGCGGTCTTTTGAGGGGAGGGTGGAGGGAAGGTTAAGGCTTAACGAACAACCACAGCCGGCCTGTCTGCTGGATCCCAGGAGCCAGCTTGCAAAATCTTGAAGAGCCAACCCCTTCTTAGTCTGCTGCCTGTGATCCTGGGAAGGACTGCTGTTTTCACCCTTGTTAGTAAATTCAGACCTGTGGCCTTTAATAAACCGTGATGAGAGATTTAAGTCGAACGAGTTTCCCCACCAAGTCCTTACATCATAATCCACCTTTCGGTTCTGGCACAGAATTCTTGCTTGCCAGGGTTCCTCGGGATTTTTAGCTCAGCCCCTGGGGCTGCTGGCCTGGCTCGGGAAGAGCGCTGAGGGGGAAGGGCGTGGTGGCACGCGCCTTGGAGCACCCTCCCCGGTCGGTTCAAAACGACCTCTAGACCCTGGCAGGTTGGTGGAGAGCGGAAGGGAGGGAGAGAAGGTAGGAGCCTGGGCCTACCTCTCGACCCCAAGCCTCCCAGCCCCCATGGTCCCCGCCGCCTGCATGCTGCTCTGGGCCCTGCTGCTTAGTCTGGGGCCCCGGGCGGCGGGGGCCCAAGACCCGACGTCAAACCCGACCGCCACCCCGACGACTGGGGTGCAGAGTGTCAGCTTCCGCTTTGGGGGCCCAGCCCGCAGCCGCCGGAGCACAAGCATCACCTCCCAGAACAGTGTACCCCAGAAGGCGAAGGTAACTCTGGAGGATGATAATGATGCCCTGGCCGTTGCTGACCGTCTGGCCGCCCCGGCAGCCGCCGAGCTCCTGTCCACTGTGACAGGCACTAGCCGGTCGTCAATGGTCGACCCCATTGAGTATGAGGAGGATGGCTCCTTGGAAGAGGGAGTCGTGATTGATGCCAGAAAAACCACCCTCCCTGTGACTCTGTTTTCGACCCACAATACTGCGGGAAGTTCTAGCACCACCGGGAGAGTTTTAGCCAATAGCCAGGATCCAGAGATTAGGATGACCACCGAACTGCCACCCCTCACTTCAAAGCCTACTGTGGACATGACTACTATGGACCTGACTCCCGAGACCACCGGGCACCAGTGGTCGACACCTGGGTCCACCCCATCCTCGTGGCCATCACCCTCACCCACAGCCATGCCATCTCCTGAGGATCTGCGGGTGATGCTGCTGCCTTGGGGTCCATGGCACTGCCACTGTAAGTCGGGTACCATGAGCCGGAGCCGCGCTGGAAAGCTGCATGGCCTTTCTGGGCGTCTTCGAGTTGGGGCACTGAGTGAACTCCGCACAGAGCACCGGCCTTGTACCTACCAGCAATGTCCTTGCAACAAGCTACGGGAAGAGTGCCCTCTGGACTCGAATCTCTGTCCTGACAATGGCTGCATCTCTCATACCACCTTGCTCAGCACCTCTCCACAGGTCCCTGTCCATCTGAGACGCAGACCCATCCTCCCACTCACTAGCCCGAGCCCTAGCCCAGCTCTTGCCTTTTGGAAACGTGTCAAGATCGGCCTAGAGGATATCTGGAATAGCCTTTCTTCAGTGTTCACAGAGATGCAACCAGTAAGTTGTTTGGCTGATGAGCCAGGACCTTCCTTGATGAATCAGAAAAGTCCCGATGTCCCAAATCCTGTTGCTAACACAGCCGGTGTACTTACAGCAGCTGTTGCTGACTTACCTGTTCAGTTACTGAGTCATAACTTGCGCTGGTTATTCTTGGCCCATTTTGTGTTTTGTTTGGTGCGTTTAGGGTGTGTTTGCACATGTCACTGGGGCCTGAGTCCCTACCTCACACATGGTAGGTGGTAGGCAGTCTTCTACCACTGAATCACACTGCCATCTCCACCTTGCTTTTCCCCCAACCACTGCCTCTTTTTTTTTGAGACCAGGTCTCCACTATCTTGTCTAGGCTGGCCTGTGACTCCTGGACTGAGGTGATTCTCTCAACACCTTAAACTTCACTCTAGTGGGAGGCTCAGCTAACTCACAGAGATCCACCTGCCTCTGCCTTCCAAGTGTAGGGATTAAAGGTGTGTGACACCATGCCCAGAAAAACAGTTTCTTGGTTTGTTTGTTTGAGACAGGGTCTTTCTATGTAACCCTGACTGTCCTAAAACTCACTGGCCTTGAACTCAAACAAATCCTTCTGCCTCTGCTGGAATTAAAGGTGTGTGCCATTGTGCCTTTTTTTTTTTTTTTTTTTTTTTAACATTTGTGTGCATGTCTGTCTGTGTGAGTGGAGGTCACAGGACAACTTGTGGTAGCTAGTTCTCTCATCCCACCATGTGAGTTCCAGGATCAAAATCAGGTTGTTAGGCTTGGAGTGATCTCACCAGCCCAAGACAGTCTCTTATAGCCCAGGATGGCCTTGAACTTGTGGTGTAGCCAAGGATGACTTCACTTCTATAGTGCTGGGATAACATGTGTAGCATCGTGTCTTGTCACTTCTTGACCAAATACTGGTCATTTAGCTGTGTCTTACTGGTCAGCAGCCAAATAAAGACTTTTTTTTTTAAGATTTATTTTTTTATTATGTAGTGTTCTGTCTGCATGTATGCATGGATGCCAGAAGAGGGCACCAGATCTCATTACAGATGTGATTGTGAGCCACCATGTGGTTGCTGGGAATTGAACTCAGGACCTCTGGAACAACAGCTAGTGCTCTTAACCTTTGAGCCATCTCTCCAGCCCAAATAAAGACTTCTTTTATCTTGCTGGGCGGTGGTGACACACACCTTTAATCCTAGCACTTGGGAGGCAGAGACAGATGGATCTCTGTGAGTCTGAGACCAGCCTGGTCTATACGGTGAGTTCCAGGACAGCCAAGACTACACAGAGAAACTGTCTCGAACGCCCCCCCCCCCCCCCCCCCGTGCCCCCCCCAAAAGACTGCTTTTTACCTTTTTTCTTTTTGAGAGTCTTAGCAGGTAGTTCTGGCTGACCTCCAATTGACCACAATTTTCCCAACATGCTTGGCTGTAAAGACTCAATTTATAGACAATGGACATGGGACATATCAACCAATTAATGATTAACATGAGGGTTTTTTTTTTTTTTGGTTTGTTTGTTTTTTTTTCCTTCAAGACAGGTTTTCTCTGTGTAGCCCTGGCTGTTACTCTGTAGCCCAGGCTGGCCTCGAACTCAGAGGTCTGCCTGCCTCTGCCTCCCAAGTGCTGGGTGGGATTAAAGGCCTGCACCACCACCACCGCCTGGCTAAGTTTTAAAAAATCATTGTGCAAGGGTGTTTTTCCTGGACCGATGTCTGTGTACCATACATTCCTGGTTCCCATGGAAATCAGAGAAGGGATGAGTCCTTGGAACTGTTGTTACAGATGGTTGTGAGCTGAACCCACGTCCTCCGGAAGAGCAGCCGGTGCTCTTAACCACTGAGCCATCTCTCCAGCTCTGATTAACAGTTTTGACTTATTGTAACAGTAACAGCTAGTGTCTGAGGTCTCACTCCAGATATGGCACTTGGATCTGTCCTCAGCTTATAGGGTCATAGCCTGTTTACAGATGAAGAAACAGGTTTACAAGCTAGTAGGGCTGGGTAGTTCAGTGGTCTTGCCCAGTACATGCAAAGGTGATAGGTTCAATCCCATCACTGAAGAAAGAAAATAGTGACAGAGGCACAAAACTGGAGCTTTTCCACCAGTACCCATGTTCCCAAAGGACTGTCCTTTTGAGACTCTACCCAGCAACTTAAAATTTCACAAAGAAGCTGGGTGTGATGGTGCCACCTTTAATCCCCGCACTCGGGAGGCAGAAGCAGCCAGCTCTCTGTGAGTTCGAGGCCAGCCAGAGCTACATAGTGAGACCCTGACTTAAACAAACAGTAAACAAGTTACTAAAGGTTCAGACTGACTCGGGTCAGTTGCTAGGCCTGATTGGCAGGGGGAGGCGGTCAGCACAGGGCCCACTTGGTGATTTGCTGGTTTCTATTTGTTTTCCTCCTGGTGAGTCCAATTCTATTTTTAATAGAAAAATAAAGCACTTGGGGGCGGGAGGTTTATGCAGCTCGGTTAGTAGGGTGCTTGCCTAGTGTTCTGAAGTCCTTGTGCATGGGGTGCCCACTTATAATCGGGTTGGTAGGTAGGGGGAAGAGAGAAGTCCCCGGTCAGCAGACTGGAAATACAGCTCGGTGTTTTTCCAAAGGACACCAGTTCAATTTCCAACACACCTATCAGGCACTCACAACCACCTTGCTTGAGGGGCATTCAACACCCTGGACTCTGTGGGCACCTGTACTCTCAGGTACACACACACACACACACTTAAAAAGTTCAAAATAAACAACCCCCTCCCCCCAAAAAAAAAACAAAATAAAAATATGTTCCCGTCCCTCGAGGGAGGTCACTCGGTAAGTGCTTACTGCGCATGCCTAATGACCCGAGTTCCATCCCCAGAACCCATATGAAAATCCAGATGTGGAGGTACACATCTGCAACCCCAGCACTCATATGGTAATAGGAGGTAGGAGACAGAATTGGCCTGAAACAGAAATGGGATGCTGTCTGAAACAACAAGAAGGAAGGAGAAACACTCTCAAAAAGCTGACCCCCGAGTCCACACATGTGCCACTGTAGAAACATGCCCTCATTCCCACAAAAACCTTTTCTTTTTTTAAGACAGGGTCTATATAGCCTTAGCTGGGCTGGAACTTACAATATAGACTAGGCTGGCCTCAAGCCTCAAGTGCTAAGATTAAAGGTGTATGTTACCATACCTGACCAGCTCAAAACAAATCTTTAAAAAAAAAAAAATCAGCCGGGCGGTGGTGGCGCACGCCTTTAATCCCAGCACTCGGGAGGCAGAGCCAGGCGGATCTCTGTGAGTTCGAGGCCAGCCTGGACTACCAAGTGAGTCCCAGGAAAGGCGCAAAGCTACACAGAGAAACCCTGTCTCGAAAAACCAAAAAAAAAAAAAAATAAAAAAATAAAAAAATAAAAAAATAAAAAAAAAAAAATCAAGGCCAGCCTGGGCTATACAAGACCTTGTTTTTTTGTTTTTGTTTTTTTTTTTTTAAAAAAACTAAACAAAATAAATGAAGAAACAGAGAGAGAGAAAGCAGAGCTGGGGAGATGGTCCAGTGGATAAAATGCTTGCTGAGCAACCAGAGGAAAGTTCAGATCCCCAGGCACCTCCATAAGTCACGCATGTGTCCTCGGGTTCAGTGAGACCGTTTCAGTGAGCAGAGTGGTCAAGGAGACACCTTGACTCCTGACACACACACACACATACACACACACACACACACACAAACATGTGCACTCTCTTGAGCACACGCACACACACAGACCAGACCAAACCAGCAAAGTTGAGGAAATGGTTTGTAGAGGGTAAAGCAGGGAAAAGAATGTAGATGTGATTATAATCTCTCCTTTTCTCTATTTTCTTACCTTCCCCAGATAGAAAGAAGTCAGAGGTAATGGCCACGTCACCTTCAAGAGGAGATGTCTGCATTGTAACCTCCCATTTCAACCCCAGCACCCACTACATTATTTTTAATACAGAAAAAAAAAAAAAAAAACCCCATAAAAACCACATTATTTTGGTCTCATTTTTCTTTTTGGTGGTGACTGGGTCAAACCCAGGGCTCTGCACATGCTAGGCAAACACTCTTCCACTGGTCTTGTGCCTTTTTTGGTTTTTCCAGACAGGAGACAGGGCTTCTCTGTATAGCCCTGGCTGTCCTGGAACTTGCTCTGTAGCCCAGGCTGGCCTCAAACTTGGAGATCCGCCTGCCTCTGCCTCCTGAGTGCTGGGATTAAAGGTGTGGGTCACCACTAGCGGGCTGGTCTTATGTCCTTACAGAAGTACTTACTCAGGGACTGTAGAGGCAGCAGCCTCCAGCTTGTTCCTCTATTCCCCGTCTTCCAAGATAAAAATGTTCACACTGCTCACCTTCCTCACCCCCAGCACTGTTTAAAACAAATCCATTTTTTGAGGCAGGGTCTGATGTCATAGTTCCAGCCAGCCTCTTGAAGGCTGGTTAAAGGTGTGTGCCGTCACACCTCATCAAAGGTAGTACTTCCGAACACCAAGGAGAGGGGATAAATAGCAAGAACAAGGAGCTCCACCCCAGAGACTGGGGTGGCTTTTCTTACCTACCCAGTCCCCGGTCCTCTTCAGGAAAAGCCGTGCCGGCACACAAGTTCATCTTCATCAGCCACGCCCCCACCCACCCACCCCCCAGACAGGGTTTCTCTGTGCAACAACTCTGGCTGTCCTGGAACTCAGAGAGATCCACCTGCCTCTGCCTCCCAAGTGCTGGGATCAAAGGTGTGCACCACCAGGCCCAGTTATTTATTTTTTTTCCATGCCCATCTTTTGATCTAACACACATTCGTAGTGATTACTCTGCAACTATTTTGCTTAACTCTTTTTATTGGAAAAATGTATCTTAAAAGTTCATCAGGTTTTTAATATAAATTATGACTCTCAACCCACTCCAATCACTTTGTTAAGTGGTGGTGGCATACACATTAGAGAAGGTTGCTCAAGGCAGGAGAACAGCCAGGAGAAGACTGTGTCCAAAGTAGTTAACAAAGGCTGGAGCTCAGCTTCACCCACACCTCATCCCCTCCTGTTACCCCCACAGTGTCCAGCTTTTTGCCATTGTGACTTGATGTTCACGGCCTTCCTAGGAGCGTGCTGCCCCGTGGGCACAGGTCCACCATGCCCGCAAGTGTTCATGTAGCCTCCAACTAATGAGCTCCTCTAGGGCAACAAGGTAAGCTCCCTTCAGGGAGGCAGGCAGACCTGACTGAACTGTGCGTAAGCAAACTGGGAATGGACGTCCACGACCAATGTTAGAGCCTGAAAAACTACAGCAGCACACTGAGCTCTGGACAAACGGAAACCTCAGTCACTATGTGAGGGGTAACTGGACGGAGTCGGCAGGGGTGGATCAGTTTCCACAGCCCTGACCCATTACCACACAACAAGCTTCCTATTACAGAGCTAATGAGACCCCAGCCCTCTCTTCTAGGACCGGTGGCGGCTCATCTGTCTTGTTCTGCCTTTCTAATCAGCCTGCAAAGAAAGGGCCAGAACAAAAAGACCTGAGAAAACAAAGGGCCCAAAGACTCTGCTCCTACAGTGCTTCCCATC